ATGATTTCTAACCTCTGTTCCTTTCTTCTTACCGCATCTACATTTAGGAAATCATAGTACTTTAAGGTAGCTTCTTGTTAGTTGCCATAGAAGCCGTACGGGGTGGCTATGGGTATCGGCGTTCAGCCAAGATAGAGCTGCTGACATCTTCATCAGTTTAACCAAGTTAAGATCAGGTGTGCTGTGACCAAACACTCCATCTTTTGATAAATGTTAGGAAATAAATGAAAACCAGTGGAAGTCATCATATCAGTGAGATGTTTGACATAATTTTCTTTTAAAGCTATTTAGCATTAATGAAAACTTGTCCATAGTAGTTGGTTTGTACTAAGAGGAGTGGTGAAAGAAGCAGGGTATTGGGATGTAGAAATCTTATGTTTTACTCATCATTGTCCCTCTTACTATGCCTTACCTCAATGATCCCATGGCCAGCCTCTTCATCTGTCCTGCAACTTCCTTGGAAGTCCAACCAATCAGGGTCATGGCTCACTCCTTCTTCAAGGCCTCAGTTCTGTGTATCCATGAGGGATTGTGGGAATATGTATTTTGGAAATTTTCAGCCAACACACCGCATTTCACCTCCCTATTATTTTAGGCCACCACCAAGCCTGGGAGACCCACCAGGCTTGGAAGGTCTTGTACTCTGACCTCTGTATGTCTTGTTTCTTTCTCTGCTCATTTCTTCTTGTTTTTTTCTTTGCTCATTTCTTTATCAGTTTTCATTCCCTTTTCAGCTAGGATCCTGTTTGAGGCAAATAGCATAAAACCACATTCAAACTGGCTTTCAACAATAGACTTGCATAACTGGAAAGTCTAGCTCTAGGTCAGACTTCAGAATTAGTTGTTCTAAGGGATCAGTGATGTCAGTAAATATTTGGTTTCCTTCCTTTATTCTTCCAGTCGCAGTGTTTGTTTCATCATTTAAGTCAGGTTCCACTCATTCTCTAAGATGGATGCCAGCTGCGGTCAAGGACAGCAGCCTGCTCAGTTATATTCAGGAGGAATGAGACCCCTTTCTCTCACAGCAGTGCTGAGGGTCAGGGATGCATGGGGCATGGGAAGAAGCATGTATATGATCACATAGGGGAGAGGTGAATAGCTGGACAAAAAAACACATGCTTAGCTATTGGTCATATTGGGCTCATCCTTTGTTATTTCCAGAACCCTTGTCCCATGGGAAGCAAACTCGTCCATTTTTTCATATTCTCTGGATCCTCTTTTCTCTTCCTGACCTTTATTGAAATCCATTTAGCTCTGAGGAAAGTATTTCCCCACATCCCTCTTTCTCCCACACCTCATATCACAAAGTAAGGAGGAAAGGTTGATATCTTCTCTGTTCCCGATTCCCTCCTTATCCCAGCTCTGCTCATAGGCCAGCACCTCTTCACCGCGGCGTAAAAATGCCTTTGAGGCTCACAGTACCCTGCTTGTGATGTCCTCTCCCACCCACCTGGTTGGTCCCCGCAGTTCTTTGACGATTTTAGTTCCTGGTTCAGTCTTCCTTTCTGCTCCCAGGCCCAGCCATCAAACTGCTGACTCCAGTGTTCACGAAGACTGTCTGTCCAGTATCAAGCTGTCGGTTCTTTGCACTCTTCAACTCATTTATATCAGCCATCCAGTTCCAGGAAAATATCCTTGTCAGGGTTAACCTTTGGTTTCTTAAATTCAGACATCTATCGTTTCTACTGTAGCCTAACTACTTCCATATTACCTGTTTCATTGATTTTGCTGAGACTATCGTCTCTCTTCCTGTATCATACAAATTGCTCTGCCCAGGGACATATGACACTTCTTCCTACCTCCCTTAGCACCTTGCTCCATATGTCCCCCCTTTTTTTTTTGGCCAGCCATACAGCATGTGGGATCTTAGTTCCCCAACCAGGGGTCAAACCCATGCTCCTTGCAGTGGAAGTACAGTCTTAACCATGGGACCGCCAGGGAAGTTCCACTTCATATGTCATTTAATAGTGGCAGAGTGAGTGAAAGTCGCTCAGTCGTGTCCAACTCTTTGTGACCCCATGGACTGTAGCCCCCCAGGCTCTCCTCTGTCCCTGGGATTTTCCAGGCAAGAATACTGGAGTGGGTTGCCATTCCCTTCTCCAGGGGATCTTTCCAAACCAGGGATTGAACCCAGATGTCATTTAATAAGTAATTTAAAAAACTGGTTTCACACAGAATCATTAAAAATGACAAATTTCTCAAATAACATATTCAAACAAAACATAAATGAGTATTTTAAAAATATTTTGATGTAAGAGCAAGGCCTTTTTGTTAAATGTGAATCACTGTCCTTGAGTAAACTCTACCAAAAATGCATTATTTTTCATTTCCAGTTTCAGCCTCTTTAAAGTGGAGCAGGAACACTCCAGACACACATAAGTGATCTGAGTTAAGAAACCTGCTGGATCTTTTTAATTCTGTTTTAAATCTTCTCTAACAGCAGGTTTTTGGTTGGCTTTTTAGTAACTGTCGTGTTTAAAGTATTCCCAAGATGGCTGACCAAAACAACAGATCATTCTTTTGGCACACATGTAATCAGTTAAATACTTCAGTTACATGAAAATGAGTATAATAAGTATAAACAGTTTTGTAACAAATAAACTTGACTCTTGGTGAATATATAACTCAGCTGGTTGAAGGAGAAATGTGGAAATACATTGGAAAATAGTCTGCCAGTCTTGAGTGTAACCATCAACCAGTATGTTTCACATGGGCGACATCAGTTGTTAGGAGAGACGGTTAAGGGGGTCAGACGGTTAAGGCTTCTCCTGTGTCAATAATGTACCTTTCTGTGTCTCAGCCCCTTGCACTCACACCCCTCAGTCTCCTTGTTCTCACAGCCAGCTCCATGGAGAGTTGCTGAAGTGCACGCTCTCCGCCTCTTCACACCCTCAGTCGTGGGAATCTGACTTCCACCCCTGCCCCCTGGCTGACACTGCTCTTGCCAGAGTCATCAGTGACATTCCTGTTGCTGAATTCAACAGAGACTTTGTGTCTTCTTGAAATTCATACATTTCATACTGTCATTCACTCCTCCTTTTTTCAGTGTTCACTTTTTCACAATTCCTTGAACCCTTCCTACTTGGTTTTCTTTCCTTCTACTTCAATGATTAAACTAGAGTCAGAGTCCGGTTGGTCTGTTCTCCCTCTGCAAATTCCCTTGGGCCAGTTCAACCACCCATGTCACTTCAATTACATCCAACAGTAATGAATTTTGCTGACTTGCACCACAGCTGCACATCCAAAACCAAATTTCTCTGTGTCCCACCAGAGAGCCTCCTCCTTTGTCTAAGTTCCCTATTTTAGCAATGGTGCCTCTGTCCGTCCCTCTCATTCAAGAGAGAAAGCTAGATACCATCTCACCTCTTCCTAAAATACGTTCAGTACCAAGTCATAGTGATTCAACTTCCTGAATATCTTCTAAGTCACTCTTGTTCCCCCTGTTTCCTAGTGAGGTATTCCATAATATTATCCCCCAGTTCCCATCACAGCTTTCCTCTGGAATGAGCCCTCTTTTCTAAACATTTCAACTCATTATAATTTTAGTGATTTGTTTAAAACACATATCTTTTCTCGTCTCTCACCTGATTAAGACCCTTCAGTGGCTTTGTCGTGACCCTTAGAGTAGGTCTGAGCTCTTAAATGATTCCCAAGGCTGTTCATTCTCTAGTCCATACTTAAGCTTTTCAGATTTTTCATTCCTTACAGTCTTTACCTTTGGATAATTTCTATACATTGTTCAGATCTTGGCTTGCTCACTGTTCCTTTTAGAAAATCTTTCTAGAAAAGCTCCTTCTGTGATATTTCAGAGTTCTCCCTGTTTACCCTATAAAACACATCTCAATGTAGTACAATCGCCTGTTAATCAATTTGTCTTCACTATATTATAAATTATTTATATTATAAATAGAAGGGTCCCAGTCAATTTGCCTTTTTATCTTTGGTGCCTGTAACAAGGAGTAGACATAGTGTATGCTTATAAGTATTTGTTGAACAAATGACATTAAATCAGTCACTTAGCCTTTCTGAGCCTCAACTGCATCATCTGTTAAAGGGGAGTATTGTCCTATCTACATCATAAGGTCATTTGGGGGTCTTGTAAGATAATAGGAATTAAGTTTAGTATTGTGGTTAGGAGAGTAGGTTCCAGCTGTCTACTTCTTGGTTTTTAATCCTAGCTCTCACTATATCGCCAGCTGTGTGACCTTAGGCAAGTTACTTAACTTTTCTGTGCTTTAGTGACCCCCTTGGCTAATAAAAATAACCACAATATCTACCTCATAGGGTTATTGTGAGTTTTAACTGGAAAGCATTCAGTATAGTACCTAAACACAATAAATGTTAGCTATCATAATATTTTTACTTATAAGCTCTAGAATCACATAACTATATATGCAAGCATATGGCATCAATTTTTAGTTTCAGTATTTTAAGGGGCTAAAGGATTAGTATAATTTTTAATTTTTTCCCCCTTTATCTTTTAGTATAATACCATACCAGATTTTATTTTTTAAGTCATAAATTCAAATCAACATAGTTGATTTACATGAAATTTTGGTAATACATTTTTAAAATTGTTCAATATAAAGAGAATTTTGAAAATACTTCCTTCCTGAATATAAAATATTGAGTTTACATACATAGTAGGTGAATATTAGCAAGAAAAAAAATGTTTAAATAAGAAAGACTACTGGTTTAATTTATAAAGGACAATTATCAATATTATATCTTGACACCTAACTTTATTTCTCTCTCTGATTTAATTACATAAGTAGTTCAGTGTTTGGAAAGTCCAAATTCCATTAACTCTGTAACTAGTCAAGAAAACCAGTAAATACAAGAGCATTTAGTTTCATGAATATGTATTCACCTGAAAGAAATTTGCTCAATTTGAGTAAAAATTCTTTCTAATTTAAAATTTAATTAAATAATACACATTTGTCTGTTGACTTTGGACCAACAAAATGCCTAATTTTTATCCTTTTTCTGATTCTTTTTAGAGTTGGTGGTTCCAGAGTTTTATTCAGAATGACTTTAGGAAGAGAAGAGATGTCTCCCCTTCAGGCAATGTCTTCCTATATGGCAGCTGGTAGGAATGTTTTAAGATGGGATCTTTCACCAGAGCAAATCAAAACAAGAACTGAGGAGCTCATCTCACAGACCAAACAGGTGTACGATGCTATTGGAATGCTTGACATTAAGGAGGTAACTTACGAGAACTGTTTGCAGGCACTAGCAGATGTGGAAGTGAAATACATAGGTGAGTAGGATGCAAAAGCATATCAATATTTCATTTAGTGGGCATCTTAAGCCATTTTATGCTTCCTGACGCGACAATTCATTTTCTAATTGTACAAGACATTGATTTTTACATAATGATTTGTAATTACTTAAATGATTAATGATTCATAATTGCTTAGAATTATATTACCTAAGTTAAAAAATTTTATTATGTGGCCTGAGGTGCTATAAAATATACACTCTTGTTAGAGCTGCTTTCTGGAGAGCAATATCTATCAAAACTTTTTAAGACATGCGGGCGGATTCTTTACCAGCTGAGCCACAAAGGAAGCCCAAGAATACTGGAGTGGGTAACCTATCCCTTCTCCAGCGGATCTTTCTGACCCAGGAATTGAACTGGGGTCTCCTGCATTGCAGGCAGATTCTTTACCAACTGAGCTATCAGGGAGGCCCTAAGAAGTGCATACCTTAGCCCAATAATTAATTCCCTATTTAGGTATAATCTAAGAAATAATCAGATACAGGAAAAATTATGTATAAATTTATGTACAAACAGGTACTCTATCATAGCAAAAGCTTGAAAACAACTAACTGCTAAGTGTCAACTAGTAGAATAGCTAAATAAATTGTGATACATTCACCCTCTGTAACAGTATACAGGCATTAAAATCATGTTAGGAGCAGTATTTAGTAACATTAAAAGGACACAGAAAGAAAACAAATTTTAATAATGTCCAGTGTCTTGGGTACTCAGTTTATAGTTGATTTTTAATTTACTCTTTATACTTTTCTCTATTTTCCATATTTTCTACACTTAAAATATATTATTTTTATAATCTAACTATTGTGTGTTCAGTTGCTCAGTCATGTCTGACTCTTTGCAGCCCCATGGACCGCAGCCCACCAGTCTCCTCTGTCCCTGGAATTTTCCAGGCAAGAATACTGGAAAAGGTTGCCATTTCCTGCTCCAGGGGATCTTCTTGACCCAGGGATCGAACCCACCTCTTGCATCTCCTGCATTGCTGGAGGACTCTTTACCACTGCCCAACCTGGGAAACCCCCAATATAACTATTAGACCCTTTGAATGATAAGGAATGAAGAATCATGCCAGTTATCACAAAGAATTTTGTAGGATAATTATGGCTAAACAATCTTGACTGTGTGGTAACTGGGCTTTCTAAGGACATAGGCTATAACTGAATATCATAAACATTTGTATGAATTCTGGAATTTGGAAGGTTGTCCAAAATCTTAAGCTACAGGCACTCGACTGCTTTCTCTTCCCTCTGCATTTCTGTTCCAGTTTCTGCCGCTTACTACCGGCTTCTTCACTCTTGTTTCTGTTGTCGCTCAGTCATGTCTGACTCTTTGCGACCCCATGGACTACAGCACAACAGGCTTCCCTGTCCTTCACTATCTCCCAGAGCGTGTTCGAATTCATATGCATTGAGCTGGTGATGCTATCTAACCATCTCATCTTCTGCCACCCTCTTCTGCCTGTTGGGTCAGATGGTAAAGAATCTGCATAGAATACAGGGTTCCATCCCTGGGTCAGGAAGATCCCCTGGAGAAGGGAATGGCTACCCACTCCAGTATTCTTGCCTGAATTCCATAGACAGAGGAGTCTGTTGGGCTACAGTCCGTGGGGTCACACAGAATCATGACTCAGTGACTTTTTTTTTTCACTCTCAGTAATGGCCACTAAATTTTGCTATGAGCCTTGAGCTTGAAATCTTCAGTAAAGAAGATCTGATTGGGCTTGTAGTTAGTCGAAAGAAGGGAGTTGGTCCCCATTCAGCAGAACTTTCTCAGCAGGCAGTTTCATATTCCTCTTCTACCCTGTAAGTGGTTTGTCCTTGGTTCACACACTCACATTTTCAGTCACTTATGGCTCTGATGGTGTGCCAGGGTAACAGCTTACACATTTAAGAAATGTAAAAATAGGTGGGGAAGAAATCTTTTAAAACAGAATGATCTTAAATTCTGCTTTTTCTGCCCAAATCATGCATCTTTTAAATATAACTTTAGTTTTGTGATATTTGTTCTCCCTCTCCTGTGAATTTATTTTCATAGGTTAATCATAAAAATGTTTGAATTTCAGAATAGATTTTTTAAAAGTTTCTCTTATCTGTGTATGTTCTCAGCGTCCTGCAATAGCTGTTAAAACCACATTTTATCTAGCATCAGGTACTGGGCATCAGCATTGTTTGTAGTTTGGAAGTGAGAGCTTAAGTCTGGCTCCAGGTCTTTGTAGGAAAGTAAGGAAGGAAATGGTTTTCAGTATTATTGTTTGTTTAAGAATGTTTCCAGTTTCAGACTCTTCATTTCATTCTGCTCATTTAAGTTCTTGAGCAATTTTGATTCCTTCTTAGTATCTTTTTGAGCTAACTTTAAAAAGTATTAAATAAACAAAAATTATAACTCTCTAGTTAATTCACTTAAACAAATGCTCTATGTATTAATATTAAATGCTACATCATATGTTCCATTCATTCTTTAACCAAGGGATAAAAAATGATATATTCAGTCAAATCTTAAAATAATAATTACTTAATCTTTTTAAAAACAGACACTATGAATTTGTTCAGATACTTGTGGCATTTTTATAGCTTTCTTTGTAACCATGTTTTAAGAGGACTGATATGCATAAGGTAGCTTGTTTAACTGGACAATTCCTTGGTATGTAAAGGGTAGCTTTACTGTCTACCATGTATCACATGTGTAAATTTTACCTATTTACAATACCTTCAAAGTGCTAAAGAGTAAAATTAAAATATATTCATTGTCACAGCCTAGCCACAACTTCCCTGTAAATGATACTCTTTTTTTTTTTTTTTGGCTGTAGTATGGATTATTTCAAGACATCAGATTTTTGCCTAATGAAAGTCAAAATACAAATGTTTTTTTAATTTATTTTATTTTTTAATTATTTAAATTTCAAAGGGAGGCAACGTGCTGGACCTCAGTTTCGATGAGGAGACGGTAGTGAGTTCTCACTCATTTTGTTCAGATTTTCCAAGGAATGCATGAGAGGGTGTCGTCATCGATCAAAATACAAATGTTTGAAAAATCCACAACCAAGTTTGATATGTGAAAGTGAGAACAGAAGACATTACCACTATATTTAACAGGAAGGGCCCCAGTATTCAGCTGCTTATTGGATATGAGATTTCTGAGGATCATTTGAAATTATATGCAGCTTTTTATGTTTGTATGAATGCTTGCGTTTGGGGGAGGGTTCATGACTTTGGTTAAATTAAAAGTCTATTGTGAAGGTTAAGAACTCCTTTTCTAAACAAACCCATCCCTCTAAATCACCTGCTTGTTTCTTAAACATGCCTTGTTTTGCCAGCCCCCATGATTGCCGTCTCTACTTCTGCAGTCCCCAGCTGAGCTCTTCCTCCTGCCCGGCCCACCCTCTAAGGTCCAGCCTTCTCCAGGGCATGGCTTAATGCCTCAGCCCTAGGTACTGCTGCCTTTGAGCTCCTGTCCCATTCATTTGACAGCTACGCTGCTCTGTCCTGGTATTGTTTATCTTTTCATGTACTGTTGCCTACCCCCAACTCCCAGACTATAAAATGCCTCGGTATGAGAACTATATCTTTTAAATTGGAAGAGTGATTGATGTATACACGTACTATATATATAATAGATACTAGGAAGAGCCTACTGTATAGCACAGGGAGCTCTACTTAATACTAAGTAATGGCCTGTATGAGAAAAGAATCTAAAAAGAGTGGTTATATGTATAACTGATTCACCTTTTTGTACTCCTGAAACTAACACAACTTTGTAAGTCAACTATACTCCAATAAAATTTTTTTTTAAAAACGGACATCTTTTTCCCCCTACATTCCCAGTTAATAAATTGCATTCTAACATACTTCATTAATTACTCAGTGTACACCCTTATTGTTCTTAGCAATGCCCCTGGAATAGCGAAGTCCTGTTTTAGACACTGTTTCTCAAAAGCCTGAGGAGCCTTTAGAGAAAATATATAATGAAAGACTTATATTGGGATAATCATTCACCTATGTATGAGGTATTTTTCTTAATACCAACTTGATGGGTCCCTGTGGTTTTTTCCTCTATTAACAGTGGAACGAACCATGCTAGACTTTCCCCAGCATGTCTCCTCTGACAAAGAAGTACGAGCTGCAAGTACAGAAGCAGACAAAAGACTTTCTCGTTTTGATATTGAGATGAGCATGAGACAAGATATCTTTCTGAGAATGGTTCATTTAAAGGTAAATGATCTTACAATTTCTTTAAAAGGAAAAAAAACCGACAATGAAGACATAAAAGCGTTTGACCAATGATAAAAAGTATTTGAATGCACCTAGATTTTGTTTCTAATTATTATAATAGAGGGCACAACATAGTGTTATATTATGCCACTTAGGTTTAAGTTGAGCTACTAATTATATTCATTTAAAAATTTTAAGACCAAGTATAATAAAAGAGTGTACATCTATAAATCTAAGACTTTTTAACTATCATGAACTTTAATAGTTTAATGAAAAAACTTCTTTGAATTTTAAAAAAATTGCACCTCAAATGGAGTTGAGTTGTCTATAAATAATCATGTGGTTTTGGCCATAAAACTGATGACTTACTGTTTGATTCTGCGTGCCGGAGCCATTCCTCTCTGTCATTCTTACATTTCTCAGGACTCATAGAAATTACGGATTATGAAATCTCTAGGTGGGTCTGCCTTCAGTGTTTTGGCTCTTTTCATCACCAATGTTGATTTGCTTCCTAGCATTTTCATCATGTCTTTGCTTTGAATTTTCATTTTCATGGTTCTCAGCAATTTGTTTGGGAAACAACCAAGGTTTTACAATCCTAGGCATTTTTGTTAATTTTGCATTTTGCATATGCAATATCTCTAAGGTTGTTTTCTTTTTAGCAAATTATGACAAGAATTGAAATAAAAAGCCGTTTTATTTCAAACGTTTTATTTGTACCTCACTGTGGCATGTATAATCAAAAATTTATTTAGACATGTAAGACATATGTGCTATTTTTTCATGTCAGACATTTTTCACCCTTAATTTGTGTTCATCTATGATGACTCATAATTGTTCATCTTTGGCACTTCAAAAATAACATAAAATAACTCTATGACTATTTTTTTACTAAATTGTTCTCTTTTCAACTTTTGATTCCAGTTGTTATTCCATACAATTCAAATCATGGCCCTTATAATTTCCGATTTTTATTTCATCCCAGAATAATCTAATTTCTTTTGTATCTGGATATTATATATGTACTATAGAAATTTTCCCTAGTATTTTTAGTTTTCTTTGATTAAGTATTTTTTTATCCTGACTTCTGAGATCTCATTTGGGATTTTCTAGCCTCAAAAAGGTATTGCAATCTTAAAGTTATTAATTGAGTCTACTGTTTTTGTTACTTTTCCACCTTTTCTGATTTCTTATAAATATTATCAAGATCTGGGAGGCTTGTCACTTTAGATTTCTTTGTTAAACTTTTATATTTTGTATGTATTGGCCTCTGATCCCCACTAAATAACTGTTGTGCTTGTTTATGTACTGGACCTTATTTGGTGAATTTAAATACCTACCTTGACAAATATTAATATTTTTCAGTTGGTATTTTTAAAAATCGAACTATCAGTTTCAGTTCTTTGCTTGAGTTGGATACTTGAATAGATGGTAAATCTCACACCATTCATAGCTAACAAAGTTAGATGTATCTAAATATTCTATTTATTTTTTCCTTTAATTTTCCTCTAAGTGAAAATAGAGCAACCATGATATAATCCATAAAGCCTTCATTAGACTGAGTAATAGGATTTTAAATTTATGTTGAGTCATCAATTTCGGGCTTGCTCTACCTGAACAAGGGTGCTCTAAATAATAATCTCAAGGTACCACCAATGTAGCCAATAATCAAATGTATTATCTTAGTTAGACATAAAATGCTCTTTTAGCTCCTGTGTTATTTTTCACTCAAGATTGATGTATAGAAGCATGAAATTACTTTTTTTCACAGTCCTTTAATGCAAAATCTGTGCCCAATAAGCATTCTAGTTATCTGTTGATGTACAACATGTAACTCTAAAACTTAGTGACTAAAAATAGTAGCAGTCATTTTATCTTCTCTCATAGTTTGTATAGGTCAGGAATTCAGGAAAGTATCAGTTGAGCAGCCCTGGCTTGGAGTCTTGCATGAGATTTCAGGCCATGGTGACGGAGCAGGTAGACCAGCCAGATACCTCTATCTTCATGTCCCCTCAGGGCCCTTCCGTGTAGTGTCTCTACGTGGGCTAATCTGGACTTCCTCCCAGCATGGCAGCAGCAGGCAGGACTTCTTTTCCTGGAGACAGAAGGCTTCAACATGATTTTACAGCAATCTGCACAGAAGCTGCATTGCATTTTATGACCTGTCTCAGAAGTCACATAGCATCACTTCTGCAGCACCATGTTGACTGACTAGTCATGACTATCTCCCGGATTCAAGGGACACTGCATTACAGTCTAGGGAGTATCATCTGATTCACGGTCTCATTTCATGACCTTTAAAATCAGCAATTTGTTGACTAAATGGATGACTGAAATCATAGTAGGGCGTGAGACTAACCAGTGTGCTGTAGTCTTCATACTTCCTTCCCAACCATGGCTAGTAATGCTGCTTTACAGTTATATAGCAATATAGTTATCTAGTTTAACTCTCATACCAATCTTGTGAAGTATCCCTTTTTACAAGTAGAGAAACTAAGGCTCAGAAATGGTAACTTTCCAAGAGTCATGGAAAGAAAGTGAAAGTGTTAGTCTTTCAGTCATGTCCAACTCTTTGCAACCCCCTAGACTGTAGACCACCAGGCTCCTCTTCCATGGGATTTCCCAGGCAAGAATACTGGAGTGGGTTGCCGTTCCTTCTCCAAGTCATGGAAGTGGATGGTAAATACTTGCCAGAAGTCATGTAGACTTTATGTTAAAGCCCTCAAGGGAAAAAGGTGTCACATTTGATTTTATTTTGCATCTTTGCAAAATAAGTTCCTGGTACAAAGTATAGTAAATATTTAGTAAATGTTCCTGAAACTAGAGTGAGAAATGGTGACAAATTAAAAAAACAGGGCTTCAGTAATTGTTGCAAGGACATGAGCTATCCATGTGGGGCAAAAAATATCATATTACTTCCTCACAACCAAATGGAAAACAATCCCTAATGGATTAAAATCTTAAAAAGCTAAACTTTAAAGCTTCTGGCAGTTTATACGGAAATAAACCTTTATGACATCTGAGCCAGGAAGTATTTCTTAAAAAAAAGACACCAAAAGTGCTAACTATAAGTCTGATAAACATGACTACATTCAAATAAAGAACTTCTATTAATAAAGTGAAAAGACACTGATACAAAAAAAAAAAACTGAAATACTAAAGAAAGAAATTTGCAGAACATGAAACTAGCAAAGCATTAGTACTTAGGATATATAAAGTGATACTCTAATCAGTAAAAAAGACAAGCATCCCAATAGAAAAATGAGCAGACGACATAAAAGGTGGCTCAGATGAAACACAAATGGCAATTAAACATGAAAAGAATGTGTAACCTCGTTAAGTCAGGGAAGTTCAAATAAAGACTGCAGTAAGATTCTTCACTAACTAGATTGACAAAAATGAGTCTGACAATGCCAAGTATCTGTGCAGAAAGGAATCAGTGGGAATATTTGTGCACTGCTAGGACATGTGTAAATTGATTTTTAAAATAATAGTAATAACTAATTCAGAAAAAAATCTAATCCTATGAAGTTGTATCTTACATTCTCTGTAACGTAGCATACCCTCCCCATCCCCAGTTCAGTATTTACCGAAAAATATGTTTGCATTTGTCCACAGGTGAAATTGAACATGTATTCATAACAACATTATCTATAATAGCAAAACACTGAAACAACTCAGATTTCCATCAGAACGAAAATGGGTCAATACACTCTAGTATATTCACAGTAGAATGTTTTATATTAGTGAAGAAAATAAACTACAGCAACATTCAACAGCATGATTAAATCTTCAGTTCAGTTCAGTTTAGCCTCTCAGTTGTGTCTGACTCTTTGTGACCCCATGGATTGCAGCACACCAGGCCTCCCTGTCTATCACCAACTCCAGGAGTTTACTCAAACTCATGTCCATAGAGTCGGTGATGCCGTCCAACCATCTCATCCTCTGTCATCCCCATCTCCTCCCGCCTTCAATCTTTCCCAACATCAGGGTCTTTTCAAATGGGTCATTTCTTCAAATCAGGTGGCCAAAGTATTGGAGTTTCAGCTTCAGCATCAGTCCTTCCAATGAACACCCAGGACTGATCTCCCCTAGGATGGACTGGTTGGATCTCCTTGCAGTCCAAGGGACTCTCAAGAGTCTTCTCCAACACCATAGTTCAAAAGCATCAGTTCTTCAGTGCTCAGCTTTCTTCACCATCCAACTCTCACATCCATACATACATACTGGAAAAACCATGACTAGAAAAACTTGACTAGACGGACCTTTGTTGACAAAGTAATGTCTCTGCTTTTTAATATGCTCTCTAGGTTGGTCATAACTTTTCTTCCAAGGAGCAAGTGTCTTTTAATTTCATGGCTGCAGTCACCATCTGCAGTGATTTTAGAACCCCAAAAAATAAAGTCTGCCACTGTTTCTGCTGTTTCCCCATCTATTTGCCATGAAGTGATGGGACCAGATGCCATGATCTTAGTTTTCTGTATGTTGAGTTTTAAGCCAACTTTTTTACTCTCCTCTTTCACTTTCATCAAGAGGCTCTTTAGTTCTTCTTTGTTTTCTGCCATAAGGATGGTGTCATCTGCATATCTGAGGTTATTGATATTTCTCCCAGCAATCTTGATTCCAGCTTGTGCTTCCTCCAGCCCAGCGTTTCTCATGATATACTCTGCATATAAGTTAAATAAGCTGGGTGACAAGATATAGCCTTGATGTACTTTTCCTATTTGGAACCAGTCTGTTGTTCCATGTCCAGTTATAATTGCTGCTTCCTGACCTGAATACAGATTTCTCAAGAGGGAGGTCAGGTGGTCTGGTATTCCCATCTCTTTAAGAATTTTCCACAGTTTGCTGTGGTTCACACAGCCAAAGGCTTTGGCATAGTCAATAAAGCAGAAATAGATGTTTTTCTGGAACTCTCTTGCTTTTTCAATGATCCAGCAGATGTTGGCAGTTTGATCTCTGGTTCTGCCTTTAGAAAAGGCAGAGGAAAACCTTAGTAA